TTTTTTTTTTTTTTTTGTTTTCTCTCTTTTTGTATTTATGGTTGGAGTGGAGTGCTGTGAGGGGGTACTAGGCTACCAGTTGCATTCACTATGATTACTGGAACTTGAAAGCCGGATTTACTTGAGATCTTACATGATTGTGTGAACTATCTTAAACTTTTATCTCAATAACGTATATTTGATAAGCCTCGGGCAAGTTTCTCATTCATTTACTGTTCAAATAAAATGATTACCAGCTGGCCTCATACCTTCTCAATGAGAAGGAGAAGGAGTACAAGAAAACTATCTGGGAGGAAATGAACAAAGAATACCTTGAGGTATTGAAACATGCTGTTCTTTTCCTTTTTATTTGACGTGATTTTTATTAAGTCGTTTCCACAGTGCTTAAATTAAGAGGCAGCATTATATGACCTGGTACCACTTTCTCTCTCATGACTTAGGACAAAATTGTACTATGTTTAGATAGATGCATGTATGTGTGTCAAATGTAAAATACATCTTTAGGTACTTCAAGACATCGCTTCCTGTATTCAGATTAAAAGATTTATCATCCCAATGTGTAGATAAGTATTTCATAGTCTCGAGTTAGAGCATCCACAGTTTTCTCTTCCATAAAGGGCTGGTGTTTGAAAAATCTTTGGCCTGTATGATGGCAGAAAATAACTATCAATGAACTAGTTACTACTCAGTGCAGATTACAGGCACATACTCATTGTATTATTATTATTATTATTATTATTATTATTATTATTATTATTATTATTATTATTGTTATTGTTATTGTTATTGTTATTGTTATTGTTATTGTTATTGTTATTGTTATTGTTATTGTTATTATTGTTATTAAATTTCAAGGTTTAGTATGGATTGTGAATGTTTCCAATGTTATTTAAGTTTAGCCAAATAAGTCATATTTAGTGTATCTCTACCATCAGTCACAAGGAATTGTATGATTTACTGAGGTACTTGACAATATTAAAAACAACAATATATACCTTTGCAATCGAAATATAAACTTCCATTTATGTTTGTAAATTCAGGAGCAGGCAGCTAAAGAAGCTGCAGCCTTGGCCGCTAAGAAAGCTTTTGAGGCAAATTTGTCCAACTGCTCAGGAGATGTAGAAGCTGCACAAAGGCTTGCTGCTGCAGCTGCAGAAGCTGTCGCAAAGTCAAAGAAGGTAGCTTATCGACAAATTGTATTTGTTAATTCATTGTTTACTTTATCAAGTTGGAATCATTTATCAGGATAATCCTTGCCCTGCGTGCATTAGGTTTAGTTGAATGATTATCACTAATAGGTTAAAAAAGGCAAAATTGTTCAGGACACACATCCTCCTGATGTTTGGATAGTAGGAATTTTGGGGTTTCAAGCCATTGTTGTATTTAAAATCTTAAGCTTTGGGAGCTTGAACAATTAAACCCTTTATTCAGAACTTTGGTGGTGTTTTAATAATTTATTTCTTTGATTGTATTAATATAAATGCAAATATAAATTAAAACTGAGTAAATACTTGTAATTCATCGTAGTGTAGTTGTTGAATCATGTGAGGAGCTGTTTGGTGGGAGTACAAAATTTGAGATATAGAATCCGTAACCCGAATCGTGAATCGTAACCCAAGCTTCTCACTAATATCCTTAGGCATCCATCACTAGTCGGTAGGACCTTTATTCTGAGCCAAAGCATATGTGAAATTTCTGAGATGATGGTGGGACTTGAAATCCAGGTCACACTCAATTTGCTATGAATAATGTTTTGGGTAACAACTAAAATACAAGCTCTAGTCTTAAGAAGACATTTAGATCTTGAATGATTGTCATGGTCAGTTGATATAAATGTGCCTCAAGTGTGAGTGGTTGCCTTTTTAAGTTGTAAAGATGGTTATCATTTTCTATAATATATATTATATATATATATATATTTATATATTTTCCATCTTCCAACGGCTTACATAATCTGTCTTGGCTTCATAAAAGTTAGCTGATTATTTATACATGTTAGAAGTGCAAAATATTACATTCGTAGTTTCGTACCCCAAAGTTGGAAGATCATGAAATACCACCAATGCATGTAAATTAATCATGCTGGTGGATGAACTTGAAAATACTTCAGGAAAAACGACAGAAGCGTGCTGCCGAGTTGAAAAATGCAGGCCCACCTCAAACCGCTCTCGAGGCAACTAGCCGAGTGCTTGATAGAAAGGTACAACTCCAGAAAATAACTTACAGTTTTCTGACTGTGCTGCAATGCATTATCGACCATGTCTGTGTTTTTATTTACCCATCACTGATACCTGCGCATGGAATGTTTCTACAGAGGCTGAGTTCTAAAGTCAAATATGATGTACTCGAAAAGCTTTTGGGTGAAACTGTAAGTGCTTGTTTGTTTAATACTCAAAATTATTCTCTTTGTATTCCTAATTGGCAATTTTTTTTTTTTTTAATCCACTTATATTATCTTATTATCAGGAGACGGAGACCCCATTAAAGAAGAGCCGGACAGAAGAAGAATTGGATAATGATGACAAATACACGAGTAATGGCAAAGCCGAATCTGAGATCGACGACCTTCACGATATGTACTATAGCTAAGAGAAACTCGAATTTGAGGATGCTTATGATATACGTGTTGAGAACGTAGAAGAGTTTAATGATGACGATAATAGTGATATATCATTGTATCGATTTTGATGATTCTTAGAAGGCTTAGTTAGTTAGAGGTTGATGTAAGATAATGTTGTTCATGCAATTTGTGAACATAACCACGGGTAAATTAATCTGCATAAATGAACAATTTGTACTTAAAGGGGTGCCATCTTGTATGAAAATTTTGAGCTTAGCATCACTCTTATTCGTGGTTTACCTTTTTTGTTGGCGCTCGAATCAAACCTCGTGCTCTATCTAAAGTCATTTCCGAGGTTGAAAAAGCTCGGGATGAATCCAGAATGCCACCAGAGGCAGCACTTGAAAGCACAGGGTTGTGATATAATCTGATACACTCCCATGCTTCGATTTCATGATTATATGCAATGCAATGACAGATCAAATGACCAACAATTTGGGAAAATTGGAGTCGAATCAAGGGACTCACAACTAACTCTAATTTCCTTATATGTGAGTCACTAAAAGTTAATGTATTTTACAAATAGTTAATGTGACAGTAACTGTGGAACAGACAAAAGAATGATATCGAATCCTTATTCCTTTGTTGATCTTCAAAATTCTATTTTTGTAGGCACTAGTTTGTGATGTAGGGAAGGCGTACGAGTGGGAAAAATACGAGTAAACGAGACTCTCTCGTAAAACACGTAAAACTCAACAATATCTTTATTTCATTTCAAATTCAACTGAATAAAACAATAGATGGGGGAGCCCTTTAAATAAGACTCC